CTGTAAAATATTAACATTAGGGGAGACGGGACAAGGGGTATTTGGGAACTCTCCGTATTATCTTTGCAACTTTTCTGTAAATCTAAAATTAACCCCAAATAAAACATTTATTTAGAAGTCCAGTAAATTGCTATAATGCAGTTTACTTGAGGTACATACCTGTAGATGTCCATCACAGCATTATTCATGAGGAAACATTGTCAACTACCTAAACATCTTCTAGTTTTGTTTTTTTGTTTGTTGTTCCCCCTCCCTCCTTTTGTTTTTAAGGATAAACACGGATATTTTATACATGTGTGTGTCTGTGGGTGAGTGTGCTTGAATACACATAAAATATTTCTGGATGGATCTGCAGGAAAACAGTAGCAGTGGTTTCCAGTGGGTGGGGAAATTGGCTGAGAGACACGGCATAGAGGAGACCTAGCTTTTATTATGTGCTTTCTGGTACGTTTTGAATTTTCACCACGTGCAAATACTACTTAGAATAAAGGTCTAAATAATTTTGTAAACGTTCTCTTGCTTAAAAATACTGAAAACCACTGAGCTACATGATCTCTAGGTCTGACATTTAGTGATTCTGTTATCCCAATACAAACGTTTTTTATTAAATAAAAATAAGGGTATTTTAATTACAAAACGTCAGATATTTTTACACAGGTATTAATCTACACCGTCAAGAGTAATGTATCACTTTGTTTCAGAAATTGACCACCTCTGTTCCTCTGTCAGCTGGGTTCCAGGAGCTGGAAGCCCCTCTCTGGGATGGAGGGGCTGCTGGGGGCAGGGGGGGTGGCAGCGAGCACGCTGCGCCTGTGCCGGGCGGGCGGGGGTCAGCTGGGCCCCAGTGGAAGCTGGGGGTGGGGAGGGAGAGGTGAGGAACCCACACACCTGCTCTTCTTTCTTCTCCTTTGGCCTGAAAGTGCCAGTCCCTGCCCTCAGAGACTGATCTCAGCTGTTGAGACTGTCAAGTAAAAACTAATGCTCTACGTGTATGCGGCACGCACGGGGGCAGGGAGGGCTTCCTGGGGGAGCGGTCTAGGCGGACCGCACAGAGGCCTGAACACACGTGTCCGGGGCAGGAGGTGGCAGGTCGCTTTGTCCTGCAAGTGAAGGGGCTTCGGGCCAGGCTGCGGGGAGAGGCCCCAAAGGACAGCTAGATGGTTGGCACCTCTTGGTGCCCCCTGGGGCAGGGGGAGAACTGCCACCTCCAGGGTTAGGGAAATCCAGGCGGACCGGCTCTCGGGAAGAAGCCAAACACCGAGTCTTGCAAGTGCAGCTTTTCTGGCCGCAGGAGAAGCTGCTGTAATAGCGACAGGGCTGCCAACCCTCCCTGGCTTCAGAGCGAAGGAGGAAGATGCTTGGGAAGTTGTCACCGCGTGGAGGAGGGGGAGGTTTGGACGGGGCTGCAGAGGGCAAGCCGGCTGAGGACAGAGGCCTGGGAGCGCCGCGTGGCCAGCGGCGGCGGGATGGGGGTGGGGGAGCAGAGGGCCAGCGGGTGCCGCGCCTGCTGGGACTTTCATGGAGCAAAGCAGGTGACAGTCGTAGCCAAAGAAACACAGGGGAGACACTCTTCCCACCTCAGTGGCTGTGATAAGAACCGGGTTAAAAGAACTTCTGGGGCCAGAAGGAAGTCTTCAAATACGCGAACCCTGACCTGCAGGGAGAG